CCCCTCCCCTCCCTTCCCTTCCTTTTCTTCCTTTCTTTCTTTCTCTCTCTCTCTTCCTCTCTCTCTCTCTTTCTCCTTCCTTCCTTCCTTTCTTTTTTTTTTAAAGTCAGACGGGTATTGTGCCCATGTCATAACAAGGTGGCACTTGTCATACAAAAGCATGAACACCCAATCATGAACTGGAAAAGGATCTCCAGATGCTTTTTTTTTTGGAAGGTAAAGACTGTGCCTTCAGTTTTTGTAAGCTTAGAAGTCCCACTCAGAAATGGTTTTATATGGTGTAATCCTCTGTCCAGTCCTCAGATTCAGCCTCCAATCACCAGTCTCCAAAGCACCCTGTTCACGTTGCCAATGTCTCCCCAGGAAAAGTCTCAAAATTGGGGTAAAAATGTCTAGGTTTCAGTCCCAGCACTAACACTGGCTGTGTTTCACTTAACTTTCCTGGGTTCTTATTTTCTTGCTTCACAGCTACTGAGAGTTAAATTGGGGAAGGTAATATAAAAGCACTTGGAACATGCGTGTGAAGTCTGCTCCATGTCAGCTCCCTTTTAAACCACCACCAGCTGGCTCAGTGAAGATAAGCAGCGTCCTGGCCTCTAGTTTCCTTATCAGAAAATCAGAGCATGTGAAATTGGGACAATAAATAAGGAAGACTAAAGAGGAATTGATGTCTTTGAATCGCAGTGTTGGAGAGGAGTACTGCATATGGGCTTCCAAAAGAACAAACTAACAAGAATCAACAAATTTGTCTTGGAGGAAGCGCAACCAGAGTGCTCCTTAGAGGCAAGTATAGTGAAATGTCATCTACATACTTTGGGCATGGTGTGAGAAGATTCTAATTCTTGGAAATTGATTCTTGGATGCTGAGAAAGGGGGAGTGTCAGTGAAAGAGAGGAAGGCCTACAACAAGATGGATTTGACACAATGTGACTATAACTGTGAGTTTGAGCATGACAGAGGTCATGAGGACTGTACAGGAGAGGGCAAGGTTCATGTCCGTTGTTCACAGTCATAGTCAACTGGATGGCACCGAACAACAATAATAACCACATAGATAGTGTGCATCCCTAGCCCCTAAAATATTGCCTGACACTTAATAAGTGTTCAGTATTTCTTTGTTGAATAAAATGGTTTTTTTAGATGAGAAAACTGAGGCCCAAAGAAGTTACCTAACCCTTCTACTCTCAAGGCATAGAGTACAGTGTCACACAGCCAGGAGTCTGATTGCCGAAGTCAGGAGTCTCTATGCCATGCTCCATACATTTGTGGTGTTAGACATTGCCATTTGTCTTAGGCTGGGTTCTGTAGAAATTCAGAAGAAATGAATATATATAGAGAGATGATAGAGATCGAGATCGATCGGTCTCTCTCTCTCTCTATCTGTATCTCAGCTCACTTCCATTGCGTTGAGATTAACTCGTTGCTGACCCTCCAGTGAGCTTCAGAGGCAACCACACAGGAGGTGAATGCTCATCTTTCTTCCTTGAAGCTGCTGGGATTTAAAGCAGCCCAGGGTGTTTGGCTGCCTTTGAGTTAGTGGCACAAGTCCCTGTGGACTACGCCACCAAAAGCACGCTCTCTCTTTCTGTCTGTGTCCTTATCTCTATACGAAGTGACTCACAAGCTTGCAGCTGTTGGCAAGTTCCCCAGTCTATGGCATGTAGCTGCAGAGGCTGATAGGTCAACAGGCAAGCAAGAACTGAAGAGGTGAGGAGTCAGATGCAAGATTAAGATCGAACAAAAATAAAACTTAAGCCAGCTCCTTGTGTTGTTGTTAAGTGCCACCATTGGGTCCACTATAACTCAGAGCAATCCTACCAGCAGCAGATTGAAACCTTGCCCTCTTCTGAGCCGTCTTGACAGTTCCCACCATGCCCAAGCCCCTCGCTGCAATCACTGTGTCAATCTATCTCGTCACGGGGCATTTCTCTTTTTCACTCATGCTCTACTTTTCCCAGTGTGATGTCCTTTCCCAAGGACTAGCCACTCTTGACAACATGCTCAAAGTATGTGAGATGATGTTTCACAGTCCTTGCCTCAAAGGAACACTCTGGTTGTGCTTCCTCCAAGATAGACTTGTGTGTTCTTTTGACAGTCCATAGAATATTCAGTACTCTTCACCAACACCATAAATGAAAGGTCTTTCAGTCTTTCTTGTTCATCGTCCAACTTTCACATACATGTGAAGGAACTGAAAATACTGAGGCTTGGGGCAAATCTTTAAACTGACATCCTTGCTCTTTAGCACATTGGAAAGGCCCTTGACAATAGATTAGTCCAACACAGTACATCTTTTGACATCGTGACTGCTGGTTCCATGTGTGTTGTTTGTGAATCCAAGGAAAATGAAATAATTGACAACTTCAACTTCCCCCCTCACATACCATGATTTTGCACAGACTGAAAAGCTCCATTAGACTTTTTAAATTAATGTTCCTTTTTCAAGGGTCATCCACTTCACTGACTTGATGGAGGGCCTCCTGTACATCCGATATGGACAAAGATAGAGAAAAACTGATAACCAATGGATACGTGTCATAGCAGATTCAATGACTAAGAAGGGATGCTCCAAGTGAGGGTCTAGCAGCATAGGCAGTTGACAGACTGGGAGGCTAGACCAAGGAAAGGCATTGAAGTTGGGCATTGAAGAATCTATAGGAGTTTGCCAGGCATGTTGCAGCCTGGGAGTGAAGTTGGGAAACTTTAGATGTTTGGAGAGGTTGGTACTCTTACTAGAGGGTATGAGTAAGGGGAGGAAGTGGAAAATCAGGAAGCTGGTAGGCATTTGGGCTCAGATTGTGAAACAGGCTACAAAGAAGAAAAAAAAATCCTGTGGTCAGTGGAGCAAGCTACAAGCTGGTCTGTAGTTTAGAAATACGTCCTCCCGCAGGGGTGCAAAGGTTGAATGGAAAGGGGGAGAAGGGCGACCTACTGCAATTACCGTTTCATCTTCTCCACCTTCTCAGTAAAATGAAGAAACTAATTGTATCAGGGGTGTTCTGAGGGTTTAAACGAGGTGATGAATTACAATGGTAGGTATTAGGCTTAATTGTCCCCTGGTCCAGCACCCCCACTTTGGGGCCATTCTGACCTAGGATGAGTTTGAGGTAAGCTTTCAGAGGCTATCCCGAAGGTCAGAAAGAATGCAAATTCCTGTAAGCCAGCACCGCTCTCCAGCACCTAGTAGGGCCCATGGGGTCCTGGTGGGCTGCTAGCCCAGCCAGAGGAAGCAGAAAGGGGCCCAGCCCAGAGGCTGTCTCAAGAAGCCTGTCTCTGTTCCAGGCGGGGCTGGAGCTGAGAGGACCGGAGACAGGCTGGGGATGCGCCCCAGATGTGGTAAACCGTGACCGGAGGAGAGGCTGGGAGGCCCGCGGCGGGTGGGGGCGCGCGTGCGTTCCGCGCCTCCGAGAGGATGAAGTCACTGGAGCTGGGAGTCTGGGGCAGAGGGAAAGGGGGGCGCCGGGAGGGCGCGAGCGAGGGAGAGATGGCTGCAAGCCGAGAGGAGCGACTCGGGGGTGGAGACCAAGGAGGGGAAAGGAAGCGGGCTGGGAGGAGAGGAGGAGAAAGGAAAAGAGAACGAGAGGGAGGCGGGGAGGAGGACACAGGGGAAGAAGGG